ATCTATTATCTATCTATCTATCTATCTATCTATCTATCTATCTATCTATCTATCTGTCATCTCTCTATCAGCTATCTATTCATTTATCTATCTTTTACTTGGTATTTATTATTTCTTTAAAATATTTATTTATTATTTTCATTTTATGTCTACGTGTGTATTGCCTGCAAGTAGGTAAGTGCACCCATGTCATACAATGCCCCGGGAGAACAGGTCGATTTTTAAAGGGGAAGGTAGAGTAGATAGAGATCTTTAAAGGAACAACAGCCTCTTTAGAGAAGCCAGAAGAGATGAATGAAAATCAGGAAAATGTGGCAGTTTGGACAGTGGATAGGAGAGAAATTCAAACAAACCCAGGATGATGATAAAGATCGAATGAATTAAGGGGCTGGGAATTACCTATTGGACAGAAAATTGTGGGGGTCACTGGGAACTCTGGATTTTCTTTCAGGGGAGTGTGGTGACAGCAAGAATCCTATGCCTAGTTGTGTGGAGGGCAGTCTGAGACGAAACTGCGGTGGACTGACCACTATCCCCGTGCTTGGCTTTGGCAGAAGGAAGCACACGGATGGTGTATCAAAGTAAAAAATGAAAAAGATGCTACGATCTACAGAGTCCAACCACGCTAAGAAAAGAGGCAGTGGAGAGAGAATTTAACCCACAGTGAGCTGGTGACTCGTAGGGTCAACTTTTTCAGAAGGAGCAGTAAAGTTAAGGAGCACCTTGGAACTCCGGCTCTAAATGTGTCAATTGAATATTTGCTCCTCAGAGTCATAGAAAATGAATCCAGCCTGGGTTCCAATACAGTATGTTTTATAGGGTGCATAATTTAGAAAGTAAATATTTGTTTGAGGGGCTATAATACAAGAAAAACATATTATATGAAATTCACAAAAATGCAAATAAATTAATCTAAAAAGATAAAAGAGGCAACATGAAGAAATTTTGAGATTCTGAGACTTAATTTTCATATGTCTTATTTTAGCAAATCCTATAAATAACGGATATTATTGAGTGAAGGAATTGGAAACTGCTGGACTATGAACATCTCACTGGTCTTCAAATCTCGATGAGTTTTCCTGTGGTGTTCAGCACGAAGGTAAAGAGAAGAGGGTTGACTGACTAACTGGGGACACTAGAAGATGTTGTCGTGTGGTACCTCAGGAAAGCAGCAGGGAGGCAAATAGAGAGGGACTCAGAGCCAAAGTTCTGCACATCTTGGCAAAGTAGGGTAGAAGGAGAGAACTAAAAGGACAGGATGTTATATTTTGAGAGACAAGATTTAGTAGTGGAGCATCAGAGTCCATCAAGTTCACAAGGCATGTAACATAAACTGAAGTTATGTAGGCAGAAAGGAAAAGTTGCTGCCAGCATTAAGTCTGTGAGGAGCTTAAGTTCTCAGATACGGAGGGCTACAACGTGAGTTCTATGAAGGTCTGTGTACTTTACAGTTACACAGAAAGTACCAGGAAAAAAAGTCTACGGCATAGCACGCAGTCCACATATTTGTCTAAATATGTTGATTTTTTACAATTCTCTTTTAAAGAATTTCTTAGAGTTAAACTTCTTATCTAACATGATGGGTGTTTATTAAATGTTCAATGGTGGGGGAAGATGGACGGCTGAAGGAAGAATGGAGGGTGTGTGAGGCTTCAATGGAGGCATCTACTCCCTGAGAGGAGCCACAAGACAAACACCGTTGTGCCCTCCCAAGTTAATGCTCATGCAGACAGCTACAGAAGGTGTGTGAAGGTCAGCCCAAAGTGATCCATGCACACGTTCACTGGCTATTCATCCAACGGTATTTGTTGAGGTCGTAGTGACAGAAAAGGGTTAAGCATGAGAATGTAAGTGTAATGAAGTGTAGCCAGGTCCCCGAATTCATAGGAACCTTCATTCCAGCGGGAGAGACCAACAATTCAAAGGCCACATAAGCTGATGCAGAATCATCAACAGATACCATGAAGGCTCCTATTTCCATTTACACACGGCAAAACTGACATATAAATTAGAATGCAAACATCTGCAAACTGAAAATATCTTGGACCAAGGCATGAATTTGATTGTCCATTTAGCTAGATATTAAGAATCTATTAAGAATCTACATCAGTTATTTAAAAAGAACTTTTATTATAACTGTAATAACATACAGTTTTTAAAGATTTTATTTTATTTTTATGTGTATGAGTCTTTGTGGGCATATATGTAAGTGCATCATATGTCTCCAATGTCCATGGAGGCCAGAAGAGGGAGTCAGATCCCCGGAAATGAAATTTAGGAAGGTTGTTAGGCACAATGTGCATGCTGGGAACCAAACCCTTGTCCTCTGCAAGAACAGCCAGTGCTCTTACTTAAGCACTGAGCCATCTCCTACAGTGCCTATTTTTTTTTTAATCATGTATGTGCCTGTATGTGGGTAAGACATGTGAGTGCAGTGCCACCAGTAACCAACAGGGCATCAGATCCCCTGGAGCTGGAGGTACAGGTAGTTGTGAGGTGCTGGGAATCAAACGTGGGTCTTTTGCAAGAACAGTGTGGACGCTTAACAGCTGGGCCATCCTCCCAGCCCTATAATCACTGCGTACAAACATATTTGATGGAGTGACTGATGCAAGGCAAAACCCATTATTCCTTCTCACTGCATTCAGAGACATGTCCAGACAGCTGGACAGTTAGTCCTGTGAACACACATCAGTGGTGGCAGCACGCACAAGCCCTATGCACACTCAAACCAGACAGACTCCCAACACAGACATGGGGAAGTGGGTAAGAAATCCCAACCCAGCCTGAGGAACTATTGGAAACGAACAGCTGCTGGGAAGGGGGAGAAACAATGTGTTTCAAGGATGGGATTCTTGGTAGGTAACCAAGCTCCAGTGGATGGACCCATACTGAAGGACACTTGGGGGACACAAATATAATATATCATATAATATTGCATATAGCATTTTATATATATATATAAAATAGAACACATTAAATTGGACAGACTGTAGTAATGGGAAGTGTGGACATGGGAGGGGATCTAAATACCATCAAATTATATTGTATGACAATCACAAAAATTAAAAAAAAAATTCCTGTTGGTTTTCTTCACCATAGCAAAATATGGAACAAAACCCAGTGTATCACTGATGAGAGGAATACTACACAGTCTTGAAAATGAACACCTCCCTGGATAACATGAATGATCTAATGCTAAAAACAATGAGAAATTCCTCAAAATAGAGTCTAATACCACTTTCAAAAATTTCAAAGCTATAATACTTATTCATGTATGGTAATCAAACTCAAAAATGCAAAATGATAATAAACACAAAATTATGATTACATATTGCCCCTGTGAGAGACAGGGAAACAGAATAAAAGATATATAATATGATAATTTAGTTCTTAGAGTGTGTGGTATGCTCATTAGCATTCATCACATTGTGTTTTATTAGACAGAAAATGAAAAATATAAAGTACTTTTTGAAACTATATCAAAAGATAATGAAGAGATATTTTTCATGTATCAAGACATTAAATTGGATTTCTTTAATTCTTTACATCTAATGTTTTGTTCAATTTACAACTTCTACGGTACTAATTGTCAGTTTAAAACATTATCATAACCCTCTAAGACATTTCAAAAAACTATAAAACTAAAAATAACGAGAGAAAAAAATAGAAAATAAAAGCGAATCAGAAAAAAAGAGCCCAGAGAGCACAGTGTGCACACACGCATGATTTATCTTTTCCAAAGTTGGGACTGATCATTTTAAAGTAAATTTAATTGAATTCATTAACATACAGCAAGAAAATCTGGTCCATCTTTGTTGTAAATGAAAAGAAGCAATCCATTTAATTGGTCAGTTCTGAACTTCAGGGAACTCTCAAAGTGCTTTCCACCATGAACCGTGTCTGAGGGAAGCTCCAGGAAGCCTTTAAAACAAGAGTGTGTCCACGTTAGTGTCTTGTCCTGCAGGCTTTGTAAGACTACAACAAGGGTCTAGGGAATGCATGGCCATTGGGTAAAAACCCCAGGGAGGACTATGAGCCAATGCTAGCACGTCCCGCCTGTAGCTCCCCTTGTCCTGGGATGAACTCAGTATACCTTTGAAGAGGAAGCTGTTTACTCTCCAAACCCTGCATAGTATGTGACATGCACAATGCCCAGTTTTGTGTAAGCGAACAATAAATCTTGCACTAACAACTAAGAATAATGGCTTTCGTGGAGAAATTCACATAGACTACATGCTTTTCTGATCAACAGTCAATTTAACCTTATATCCAATTGACTTAGAGATTCAGGAGGCAGAGGTGGGAATTTATTGAAGAATGATCCATATCTGCTAAGCCACCATGTTCTCTGTCAGGGCTTTGCGCTGGGTGACTGTACTCAGAGACTAGTTGGAGGGACATCATAGACATTATGCCTCCTGACTTAACAGAGGGTTGTATTAAGGGGGAGGATTGCCTCTATTCGCCAGCTCTCCCTCAGAGGCTTGATGAACTCACCACACAGCTTTAGGGACACCACTCATTTGTATGATAAGCTAAATGGAGTTGTAGTGTCAACCTAGTTAAAAAAAAAAAACTTTGAAACATCTTTCAAAGTAATGCTGTATACTGGCTTCCAATCATCTGATATATAAATGCACACTTGTGACACTTACTTAGAAACTGAAAACTGAGTGACCCTTTGGAGAGTCCAAGTGTAAATATACAACATGAGTATTGACAGAATGTATGTTCACACTTTGAAAATATATGTAAGTGTATGGGAGTTGGAGAGATGGCTCCGAAATTAAGAATACTCGTTCTTCCTGAGGACCCAGTTCAATTCCCAGCACCCACCTGGTGGCTAACAACTGTCCATTACTCTAGTTCCAGCAAATCTGAAACCCTCTTCTGGTCTCAGTGGACATTGCAGGACATGGGTGCACTTACTCACATGCAGGCAATTCACTCATATACATAAAATTAATAAATAAAATATTAAAAAAGAAAATATTTGTAATATCATAAGTAGTCTCTTCTGTGATATAAGTTCATCAAAGTAACTTGGCTAAGGGAAGCTAAATTAGACCAAGAATTGAGCATACATGCTGCTATCATTTGAAGCACTAAGCTCTTTAATAGATGGGGCGTAGTGGTACCAGGAAACAAGCCCTAGAAGGCGTTGAGGTCCCTACTCATTCTCTCTTCTGCTTCCTAGCAACAAAGTGAGTGGTTTGATATTGCCACATACTCCGATCCTGGTGAGATACCTTCATGGACAGGCCTGAAGTCACAGGGCCAGCTGGCCTTGGACTGGAACCTGCAAAACTGTGAGTCAACATTAACCTTTTATCTTCATAAGTCAATATTCTCAGGTATACTATCATAGTGGTGGAAAGCTAGTGAATTCATGCTACACAACCAGCCATGTCTACTTGTGTCTCAGCTGCTCCCAGGAAATGGGCTCCTTCTTTCAGTGAAGTGGGGCACCCCTCCCAGCTGAACACATTGACCTGCTCCTCGGAACTCTTCCAATCCAGGGGTATCCAAGTAACAGAGGAACTTAGATTCATCATAAAATGTACATTTTTGAGACAACCCACAAATCCTCTCTGAATTATCTCTGTAAAAGTTGGTAGGTTGGTAGGTATCAAGACAGGTACACGATATGTTTGTTTTGAGATTCATTCCAAGCAATCCATTGTATGTGATATTCAAAAGGAACAAACCAGATCCCTAGATCCCAACAGCTGCTAATAATTCATGCAAACACAACCCATTTGCTGGGTAGACGTGTCCTCTGAGACAGTCACTCCTCCCACCCAATCAGTCAGCTTCAACTGCATGAGAGGGAGGGTGTAAGAACAGATGCTCAGAGTTCTGGAAAGCCCTACGGTCACTGGGAAAAAGGGTGGGGTGGTTGCCATTTTGGAGTGGGGCACATGGACCCGTGGGTGGGAAATGATGACACAGATCTCAAATGTGGGGAGAGAAAAAGCCCACGGGCATGCATGCCTTTGTAAGTGACCCTCTTCCGAATAGCATAAAGTTTGTTGGCAAACGCACATAAGTATTCTTATTCCCCAAACTGTAACTTAAGAGGGACATTGTGATGGTTTAGTAGGTTGGTGTTAGAACCCATGAACCTGAGAACGTAGAAAGCATGCGCAGGTCTCCTGGGTGGGGGGATTTGGTGCATTACCATCAGATCCAGTAAACAGCTATAATTTGACATTTAGCTCTGGTTCAGATCAAGTTATCCACAGAAACATTAATAATTTTTACCTGACATAAACCTCCAAAATAAAGTGCTAAAACAATTTTTAAAGTAAGATGTGGAGCCAGGAGTGGCGGTGCACGCCTTTAATTCCAGCAGTCGGGACGAAGAGACAGGCAGATCTTTGTGAGATCAAGGCCAGCCTGGTCTACATAGTGACTTACAGGTCAGCTGGGGCTACAGGGAGATCATGTCTAAAAAAAAAACAAAAAACAGAAAACAAAAACAAAAAAAACAAAAAAAGAAAATCCCTGAAAAACCCCAACCCAAAACCAACAAAAATCAACCAACCGACCAGCCAAACAAAACAAGGTTTGGGTCTGGATAGATGGCTTACATGGCAAAATGCCTACCTCAAGTATGAGGCCCTAATTTCAGATCCCTACAATCTACAAAAGAGGCCCAGCAGCCCATCTGCCTGTAAGCCCAGTGCTCAGGGCTGGGGAGTGGGTGGGAAGATCCTGAAGCTCACTGGATGCCCAATCTAGCTGAATCCATGAACTCCATTTTCAGTGAGACCCTGACTCAAAAAATAAAGGGCACAGGGCATGGAGGACAGGCATCTGATGTGACATGTGACCTCCACATGTGTGTACGTATCCATGCATATGTACCTCCATGCACACACTCACCCTAACAAACAGCTCCACACCCTACACTAATTAAGTAAAAAAATTAAGGTTTTAAGGGAAATGATTCTACTGAGTTTTACAGTTCAGTTTCCTTGGCATGATGAAAGCAGTCCATTATCCAACCGAATTCATCATTTGATTTCACTTTTAAAATTTATGTAATTCTAGAACTCAGGTCATCAGTCTTGGCAGCAGTGGCCTTACCCATGGAGTCATTTCCCAGGCCTTATGTAACTTACATAATATGGAACTTAAATTTGGAACTCTCCTGCCCAGATCGATGGTGGTTTCAAATGTATAGGAAATCTGTGATAGCTGAGGGTTTGAAGTTAGAAAATTCTTGAGACAACTAGATAAAAAGCAAGAAAATAGGACAGTGAGATGCAAGGGCCCTGTGGTCGCAGGATGCATAGCTATGTGCCTATGAGTGCACAGCTTGACCTCTGCTGAAGTTTATGAGGATTCTAGGGACACTGTTTGCCAGCAAAGGTCTGCAGCACAGTTTATACACAATGTCAAATTATTTCCTAGAGTCCTAAAAAGTTGATGCATAGAGAAAAAAGTATGACAAAATAACATCCATTAACTTTAAAGCACTGTAAATTTATCATGACTAAGTTTTTTTAAAAAGGTTTTTATTCAAGTTTTTATGTGTGTATGATTATTTATCCTACATGTATGTAGATGTGCTATGTGCCCACCCAGGCCAGAAGAGGTTGTCAGATCCTTCAGGCCTGGAGTTAAGGACAGGTATGAGTTGCCATGTGGGTGCTAGGAACCAACCCAGGTCTTTTGGGAGAGCAATAAATGCTCTTAACCACCAAATCATCTCTGGAGTCCTGTGATTAAACTCTTGAGGACAATATTCTGGTAATCAGGGTAATCAGTTTTAATGGTCAACTTGACACAGTGCAGAATTGCCTAGAAAAGACTCACAATTAGGGATTATCTAGATCAGACCGGCCCGTGGCCATGTTAGTGGGATTGTTTTACTAAGTTAATTGATGTTTTATGTGGGAAGACCCAGTCCATTCTGGGTAGAATGATCCCTGGGTTTGAGTGCTGGACTAAGTAAGAGTAAAGGAGGAGAGGGGAACAGTAGACACCCCTACATCCATCCTCCGTTCTTGACTGTGGGGCGTGAACCCTTGGCTACAGATGTCAATATTTGTTTCAACTTCCTGCCTTAACTTTCCTGCAACGATGCACTGCATCCTGGAACTGTAAGTCAAATAAACCAACTCTTCCTTCAAGCTGTTTTGTCCGGGCATTTTATCATAGCAACAGATACGATACTGACACAACATACAACTCCATATCCCGTGGAACTCACCATGCTCCTTTTCGAGCACTGGGTAACCTTGTGGCAGCCCACCCATGAACAGTTCCATGCTGCCTCCAATCAACCTGCTACGGTTCAGAGAGGCTGAGGAGCCTGTGGAAGAGGAGATGAGAATTACAATGCCATTAGGATAGTCCATTTTGAGGAATTCCAAACAGCCACATTCTTCATAGAGCTTTGATATCTCACATCCCTCACAGATCTTTGGTGCCCCACTGGAGTTAAGGACAGGTATGAGTTGCCATGTGGGTGCTAGGAACCAAACCCAGGTCTTTTGGGAGAGCAATAAATGCTCTTAACCACCAAATCATCTCTGGAGTCCTGTGATTAAACTCTTGAGGACAATATTCTGGTAATCAGGGTAATCAGTTTTAATGGTCAACTTGACACAGTGCAGAATTGCCTAGAAAAGACTCACAATTAGGGATTATCTAGATCAGACCGGCCCGTGGCCATGTTAGTGGGATTGTTTTACTAAGTTAATTGATGTTTTATGTGGGAAGACCCAGTCCATTCTGGGTAGAATGATCCCTGGGTTTGAGTGCTGGACTAAGTAAGAGTAAAGGAGGAGAGGGGAACAGTAGACACCCCTACATCCATCCTCCGTTCTTGACTGTGGGGCGTGAACCCTTGGCTACAGATGTCAATATTTGTTTCAACTTCCTGCCTTAACTTTCCTGCAACGATGCACTGCATCCTGGAACTGTAAGTCAAATAAACCAACTCTTCCTTCAAGCTGTTTTGTCCGGGCATTTTATCATAGCAACAGATACGATACTGACACAACATACAACTCCATATCCCGTGGAACTCACCATGCTCCTTTTCGAGTACTGGGTAACCTTGTGGCAGCCCACCCATGAACAGTTCCATGCTGCCTCCAATCAACCTGCTACGGTTCAGAGAGGCTGAGGAGCCTGTGGAAGAGGAGATGAGAATTACAATGCCATTAGGATAGTCCATTTTGAGGAATTCCAAACAGCCACATTCTTCATAGAGCTTTGATATCTCACATCCCTGACAGATCTTTGGTGCCCCACCCTCCTTTAACATCCTTACCTACAAGGTCAGACATCGCCTGGCTTCTGTGGACCCATGCACCATCACTGGCCTTTCCCTTCCTCTTTACCACACCGGCCTCCTTGTGCAGTCCTCGATATACAATATATGATGTTCTCCTATGTCAGGGCCCAATGTCTGAGGTTTCCTTGGCCTGAAACATTTTTCTCTGAATATTTTCATGGTCTCCTCCATGACCCCTTATGTCCCTGCACTCGTGTCGCCTTATTGGAGAGACCTTCGCAACAGCTCTATACTGAATTTAACACTTCCTGTGACCTTTGTGACAAAAGTCACATGTTTATCAGCTATGGCTGTCTAAGGATTGGGCCAGTGACTGTCACGTAGTACTGGCAATGTTCCCCATCACGGTTAGGGTATCAGATAGGCTCGCAGTTTTCTGTTTCTGTGTTATTTCCATTGAATTTAAAAACACTGCCATGTAAACTCAGACACAACTTTCCCATCTTATTTTTCCTGTTCTATGCCACTTGATACTCGGTCTTCACATCTTCCTTTGCTTTGTCCTACAAAACCTAAGTGCTACAAAGGGCTGTCTGTTTCTGGTTATGTAAGGACACAGAACAATACTGGAACATAGTAGGAGATCATTAAAATCACCTATAGCCTCAAGATCACATGGAAACCTGCGTCAGGTGAAAGATTGGAAGACAGCCAGCAGGAAAGAAAACCACACTTCACGCAAACACAGGATGTGTGTGCCAAGAGTTCTGCCTGTCGACTGCATATGCTGGGAGAAATCATTCATGTTTCTGAGCCTTGATCTTTCTCACGCAGACAGTTACTCTGCTTGTTTTCTGCAGGTCAAAAAGAACATTAGAGATAGTAGCTAAAATCTGCAGAAGTGGAGAGTGTGCGAGGCACAGAATGGCTGGTGGTGGCTTTGATTGTGTTTTGGCTTTACTGAAATCCTCCCTGGCTGAGGATAGAGGAGAAGCCAAGACAGACCTTACCACCGAAGGAGGGATTCAAAGACAGATCCCAGAGAAATCAATGTGAAATCAAATGGAGGTCATGGGGAGAACTACACATGTACATGCAACTAAAGAGTATGATATCAGCCTGACAAAGAACCCTTGTTTAGCTCAAAGGAGTTCTTACCTGTGTACTGCCCATCAGAAGTGATTTGGTTAAAAGCCTGATGTCTGACTACAACCATTTCATGCCACTGGCCATCACTGTATTGTTTACCATGATCATCAGTTGTGGTAACCTTCACTGGTGATCCCTTAAGAGAATGAATGAATGAATGAATGAATGAATGAATGGGTACTTATACACAAAGGCACACTGATATTTGTATATTTGCTAGAGTCAAACTCTCTATCTCAGCATTACAGTCTCAATGCAGACATGCCCATCTTCCAGATGAAGCTTAGCACTAAAGTAGTCATCTAGCAACTCCTGTGACTGTCGGGTGGTGTACATCTGGGTAAAGTAGCAACACCACAGTGAAAATGGGTTCCTAATTAGCTAAGAATGGTAGATCCCAAGAAGAGAGACCAGCGAAGCTCCAGGGCAAGGAAGAGAAGGAAGAAAGATCCGTCTTCTGTACAACGGAGATAAACAGTTCCAATATGCTATGGTAAACAGTGTCATAATCTTTTTAGTCTAAATTAACAAATCAAAGTGAAAGAAACTCCACCTTCGTTAACCAACATGGTTTACCACTGCGACTACAAGAAAGAAAATTACCCTAATCTTCTAAATGAAGATAAATTTCCTACCAAGGTTGAATTGTTTAGCAATCATCAAATCTGATTCCAATAAAAGTTTTTAAAAAGTACAAGCAAGTTGGCTAAGATGATATGTGTACTTATGCCGGGCGTGGTGGTGCATGCCTTTAATCCCAGCACTTGGGAGGCAGAGGCAGATGGATCTCTATGAGTTCGAGGCCAGCCTGGTCTATATAGTGAGTTCCAGGTCATCTGAGGGTACAGGAAGACCCTGTCTCAAAAAAAGATCCCTCAAAATGATGTATGTACATATATTTTAATTAACTGGAATGTTCACCAAATGCTTTTTTTTACTTCACTGTTTTTCATAAGGTGGAAAACTGACCCCTGATATGACAAACTTATCTGCTGCAAAGCAAGGTGGTAATCACAGTGATTTAAGTAAAATATTTGTTTCCCTAAATATATAACATGTCCATTCTAGACATTTAATTGGCTCTTGTCAAGCCTCATAATATATGTCTAAATACATATAACATAAAGAATTTCATATTACCAACGTTTTCAAAAACAGCTTTTAATTTCCCATGAGCCCAGGCAGTTACTTCTTAGACAATATCCCCAACCTGGTCAGCTAGACACACAATTATTTCCTAAGTTTATTTTGTATCTGAAACTTTCTTTACATCTGTTTTCCTCTGGATCCTCCTTTATTTTCTTCAACCCTATTTCAACATTTTAATATTTTACAAACACACATTTCATTATCATAGTTTAATAATTAAAACCAGAACCGGTGTCGTGCCCAATTAATGTGCCCTGGTAGCATGCCCATTAGTTTTTCCATTAGCGAATTCAACAATACTAATGGGATTACTAGCATGGGATGCTAATTGGGTGTGACATAAGAAACTGGCTTACTTCTTAGCATACCCTGGCTAATGATGAAATTAATGAGCATTTTATTAAATGCTGTCTCATCAAAGTGTACTTAGTTAGCGTTAAAATTGTTACAAACGGTTCTGCATTTTAAAGATCAGGTGTCTGAGGAGGCATTCTTCTATATATTTGTTTGGCAAAAATCTGAAGAGCTGATGTGTCTATACATCCGAAATTACATTGATCAGACACAGATCTACCGAGGTACCCCACAGTCACAGCAGGCTAAACTTGCTTTAAATTTTAGAGCCACTCACGCAGCACCCCTTAAGGACGTCAGTATCTCCAGAATATTACTAAATCAACCTGCGACTACTTCTTCTGTTCTATGTGGAAAATACTGGAAACAGTAAATAGATGCTGTTCAGAATGACTTACAAGTTTTACTCTCAAAAGTTCCTTGCCTGGGAACACAGAAAATTACATATATTTTCTATTGACGTCACTGAGCAACACTAAAGGGACAGGCCTGGGCCAAAGCAGCTCAGTAAAATATCTCATCAAGCATATGCAAAACTGGATTTATTAAATAAGGACAAGATTATAGATATTTCAGAGACTTAATGAAACTTTAGAAATTCAAGTTACAGTTAAACTTTTCACTTCTGTTTCCATGTCATGTCACAAGACATACATTTCCAATTTTAACTCGTATCAAGTGTCTTTCTTCCTCATCCTAAACATTTATCCAGCTGAACACACTGGATTTGGAAGATAAACCAAGTGACTTTTATACCTATAGCCTCTATGTAGGATTTACAGTCATGAAAACAACTCATTACTCAGGTGTACTATTTTAAAGCCCCCAAAATACAGAGAACCCCAAGTTACTTTAAAACAATGCGCTAGGCAGGAACTTTAAAATTCCCTGAAAATACTCTCCACAACTCAAAATTAAATGACTTCGAATAGGTTTAAGAACAGTCATTTGAAAGTCACCATCTTAGTTTATTTTGGGAAAGGTCAAACTAACAAATAAAGTAAAATGAATAAACTACTAAATTGTCACTGAATCATTCAAAGCTGGAAGTTTCATCACAGAAAAAGGATAACCTTATTTATCTATGGTAGTAAAATTTTAGCCAGTTGTCTAATTAGTTAACCAGATAATATGTCAAAAGTGTTTATCAAGCATGTACATTGTTCTAAGAACTGGGCTAGGACGAAAAGTCACAGTTCTGTCCTCACATGGTGACAGCCAGATAAAAAGGCACACTAAGCACTCAGTTTCCAGTGTGGTGGAAACAGGGGCTCACTTACATTTATTTACTAAGTAATCTTGTCCTCCTTTAAAAAGAAGAAAAAAAGGATTTAAAGTGATGCATAAGGTACTTAAACTAGAAATAGTTTTAATGCGTGTATCAGGCACGTAAAACAAACTAACTTGACTTCTTTAAATGTGGGGTAGGTCAAACTCTGCACAAGAAGCTATCTATCTCCATTTTCCTATCCAGGATGAGAAGAAACAACAGGAGACACTGTCCACATTTCTCTCTATTTGGCAGTTTCAACAACTGTCTAAAATTAAGCTGGGCTTCATTATATGGTTAGCAAATCTGTCCAGTTAGCCTGCATCAGATACGAGTTCCTTAGAGGTGAGGAGGCATCGTCCTTGCTGGCTGGAGTTCACAGCTTTACAGATTGCCTCCTGGCCCAGGAGCACTTAGTATAATATATCTGATTACATCTTCTCAAATATACCTGGAGACAAGCCTGCTCAACCAATACCTTACTTTTTCAAAAGTGAATGAATTGTCAATGTGCTGAAAGCACAGTCAGCTTTTGCCTCGTGCAGGACAATTATTATTCTAGACAGAAATGTACTTACCCAACAGCGTTAAACCCTCCTTGCTTGCCTCAGTGCTGAACGTTTGCTGGAGCAGTTTTATTAGTATTTGGCTAGTGCCCACCAACTCTGTGTACAGTGGTGTACATTTAGACACAGGCTCTATAGGGGAGGGGCAGAGCAGCTGAAGGACAGCAGGAAGGGAGGGATGAGTTCCAGGGGTAATGGTATAAGAGTGAAGGGTAAGGGGCAGAAGTGAGGGGAAGCATTTTCTGTCACCATGCATCACCCTGTGTACCTGATGAGACCCCACAGAGTTTCCTGGCAGCCTCTCTCAGGATCACAGTGATGTGGCCAAGTGGAAGGAGGCCCTCTTGGCCCCTTACTGTCCTGTGCTGCAGTCTTCCAGACCCCGTCCTTTAGAAAGGAGAGCAGGACCCACGGCGAAAGAGATGGCAGGCATCTTTCAGGTCTAGAGACTTTTGCCTCATGGAGTTAAAGGATGTGGGCATTTCCATGTGTGCATTTGTTAAACATTCAAAATCTGGGAGGAATATTGGCGGTCAGTATCTTTGCAGTGGCATTTGGTAAATCTCTCATGCCTCTGTCCCGAAAGCCTAACTGTGCATTCTAGATATAATACTAGTGTAAGATAGGTTCTTGTCAAAAAAATTTAGGTGTATGTTTATGTGTATGTGTGTGCGCATGCAGGGGTACATACATGTGGAGGCGAGAGGTGAAAGTCCAGTGTCTCCTCTATTCCACTCTACCTTATTTTCTGAGACAGGGTCTCTCATCAAACCCAGAGCTCATTGGTTGTTGTTGACCAATGAGCTCCAGAGACCTGCCTGTCTCTGTGTTCCAGTGCTGAGGTTACAGACACGCATGGCACTCAGCTTCTTAATGTGTGTTCTGGTGATCCAAACTCAGGTTCCTACATTTGTGCAGCAAGCACTTTACCGAGCCAGCACCCCAGCCTCCTAAGTTCTGAGCAAAGGGCCATAAACTAAACTTAACTCAGGGCCGTTTCCCTCACTGAATCACTGGGTGACCCTGAGTAAGCCACTTGGTGTAAAGCAGGATGAAGGGAAGGCTTCAGTAGGGGATGATACCCACAGCGACTGCGCTGCATGAGAAGCTCTGCAGGTAAGGGTTGGATGACACAGCTGCATTCATCTGGCCTCTGAGACACCCCCAGATGGTAATAGCATAAAGGGAGAAAACAGAGCCAGGACCGTTCTCACGACTCGCCCGGCTCCCATGCCTGCTGCTCTGCAGCGGGTCCCCTGAATTTGTGGGAAATTTTGCAATTTCATGTCCAGCTTCTTCCCCCACTGTCCTTATTTGGACAGTCTGTGAGACACGCTCAGTTCGTTATAATTCCCCGATTTTTCACATTCAAGTGTGTGCGTTCCTTATTTTATGCACAAAGCGGCATCCGTGTGATGGAGATCCTGACGCCCTCCTGCTCCAAGAACTTTCCGAAAGTTTGGATTTCCCCCTCTGTTCCCCTTTAGCACTCTCATTTGACTTGTAGATTTCTTTGTGTTTTTTTGTCACGGTATTTGTTTTATTTCTCTTCCACGTCAGAGATTGTCACTGTAAAAATCATTGCAAATCATGTTTCACTGACTGCTTAGGGCTAACTTAATATTGTAGTTTATTATTTACCTCTGCTTCTCTTCTGAGTACTTTGGAAGCTCTTTTCTCCATGTCCTGGGATGTCTTCCTGACACATTCCCCTTCAATACAGTGCACTGGCCATAGTTTGATCCAAATTTTCTGAATATTACAAAGCATCCTTTTGTTGCTAAAGAGGAGTCCTGGAGGACTATAAAGCCATGTGGTTGGAGCTGGCTCTATATATCATGGTTTTTATTATTATTATTATTAGAAACAGGGTCTAATTTAGGCCAGGCTTACCCTTAAGACCTTAACTCTTGGCAATCCTCCTGCCTTAGCCCCCCATTACCCACCCGGGTTCTGGGATTTACAGAAGTCTTATTTTGTCTTTGGAAATAGACTATGTGAATTTAAAATATGTTACCTAATAACAGTGTGGCTTGAGAGTAAATTAATTTACCTGTGGCTTAGATTACTTGATTATAAAATGGGACTTATAAGGTTGCCTACTTCATAGATTTGCTTAGATCAAATGATTGTGTGTGCAAATGGATATGCACAGTAATGTGACGAGAGAACACTTATAATGCCAGGCCCAGACAGCTCCTTCTTCACAGAAACTGGTGGAGGTTTTCAAAAAATTAATAATTAGCCAGGCATGGTGGCACATACCTGCAGTTCCAGCACTTGGGAGGCAACAGGCAGATCCCTGTACATCAAGGCTAGCCTGGACTACATATTGAGTTCTTAGGTGGGGCTACAGGGAGACACTATCTCAAAAATATGAAAATAAGTAATATTTATTTCTTCCTCAAAACATGCATTATATTTAATTTTATGTTACTTTTTTCTCCTGTCCCTCTTTTTCGTACTTCCCTTGTAGAAATTTCCCCAACTTTATCTCCTAATGTACCAATCTGAGGCTCAAAGCTCCTTTCTTCTAATTAATCTCTTTTAAGTTTTCAAAGGGAAAAAATAATATGTTTAGTTCTGTGATTGAATCAACCATCTATGCTGATTTTTCCCCAGTTATCATCTGCCTGTCTTCAGTGGAGGCTGTGGTCCTTGCTTTCTCTGGCCATCGGGTCGGCCACGTGATGCTGTTTCTCTTACTCCCAATGA